CTCCGAAAGATAAGTCAGGTTCTTATGATCGGTAAGAATGAGGACCGGAACCGCGGAGCCCTCGAGCAGGTGCCTCCATTCCTTGAGAGCCAGAATGATTGCCAACAACTCCCTATCTCCAATCTGGTAGTTGCACTCTGCAGAGGAAAGCTTCCTGGAGTAGAACCCACAGAGAAGTAGGGGTCCATCGGGTGACCGACGTTGAGACAGGAGAGCGCCTACTCCTGTCTCGGATGCATCGACCTCAAGGACGAAGGGCAATCCAGGATTGGGATGAGACAGTATCGGAGCCGAAGCGAAGGAGGATTTCAGAGCCTCGAAAGCTACGAATGGCCTCGGATGGCCACTCGTGAGGATTACTGCCCTTCTTGGTTAGGTCTGAGAGAGGCTTTGCCAGCGTGGAGAAGTTCCTGATGAACTTCCGATAGTAGTTGGCAAAACCCAAAAAGCGCTGAATGGGCCGAAGACCATTGGGACGAGGCCACTGCAGAACCGCCGAAACCTTTTGAGGGTCCATGGAGAATCCCTCCGCAGAAATGATGTAGCCTAAAAAGGCAACTTGGGATCGATGGAACTCGCACTTCTCAAGCTTACAAAAGAGTTCGTTCTCCCGTAATCGTTGCAGCACCCGCTTGACATCCTGGATATGGGACTCCATGGAGGTAGAGTAAACCAGGATGTCATCCAGGTAAACCACTACGCACTTCTGCAACAAGTCACGAAGGACATCATTTATGGATTCCTGAAAAACTGCGGGCGCGTTACACAACCCGAAGGGCATCACCAGGTATTCGTAGTGGCCCCCGAGACACCCCGGCTGCGGTAATGGCCGCCGCCAATGGCGTGTAGCTGGTGAGAATGACAATAGCGTAGTCAGGCAAGCCGAGTCGACAACAACGGGACAAAACAGTACAGAACAGTAGACAGAGAATCACAGGTCACGGGCCGGGTTCAGCAACGGAAGGTCAGATCGAAGGAAAACACAGAGAATGGTCTTAGTCACAAGCCGAGTCAGAATACCAGAAGAGTCACGAGCATATACACAGAGCTGTAGCAAGACAAAGACACAAGACACAAGTGCAAAGAGCATGTGCAGATCACAGGCTTATATGTACTCAGCCACACCCCTCTGGGGGATGGACCTCAGAGGCCTGAAGGCATAAAAGCTTCCCACCATGCTCAGCAGAAATCCAAGATGGATGCCATCACATGGAGTAACATAACCTCTGGGAAAAGGTAGGACCTTGACACATTCAAGGATATAGGTAATTTCCAGGAATATATCTCACGACTCTTTCGTATATTTCCATACCATAGGGACCATGTTTAAAGGTAAGAAAAAAGAATCATGGTGCAGCAAGTTTTAAAATTATAACAAACTTTTTAATGAACAAAGAAAACTCACTCAGGTGTCTCCACCGACACCAGTTTTACAAGCATGTGTTTAGGCAATCGTGCACGAACGTATCTTCATTTGCTCTGGATCTCCTCCTCTCACATCCAAAGAATGTCTTAGACATCAGCATCCAGCAGGCCACGCCTGGTGGTGGTTCTAATATAGTGTGGACAACCATATCAGCGTTGGTACTTCTTGGTGTGGAGAAACGTGACTAACTGTAGGTGACAGTGCTGGGCCAATTAGCGGTCACCCTTGGAGTCTATAGTGTTGTGTAAAATATGACTCCCGTGATTAGCAGTTTAACTCTTTTAGACTTAACCTTTGTACCATCTCCAAAATACACCCATTTGTAAACTGTGAAACCACCAATGTACTCATTCACTCGCTGCTTATCTCTCACCTGTTACAACTATCTTCCCATCCTCTGGGATGCCCTTCCTCAATCTGTCTGGCTATCTCCTACTTTCACCACTTTTGGTAGATCCCAGAAAACTCGTCTCTTCCGGGAAGGCTATCCCACCTCCATCTAACTACGGAACTTTTAATTTTTCCATCAGTTCATTCTTTTACAGTTGTTACCTTTTGTACCACTTTCCCCTTCCTATTAGATTGTAAGCTCTTAGGACCCTCCTTACCATCTTGTATTAAATTGTGTTGTAACTGTATTGTCTCCCTCTTGTAAAGTGCTGTGCAAACTGTTGGCACTATATAAACCGTGAAGAATAATAATAATAGTCAGAATCATTTTCAGCAGTCATCTTAATCAAATCTCTATATATTCAAACAATAGTGCAGTGCTCCCTTGCTAATTAATTAGTGTACTAAAAAATATATCTAAATTATTTAGTGTACCAAAAAATATTTTATATTCTTAAATTAATAAATCCTAAACTTGTGGTTATAAATCCAAAAATAATCTATATAATTAACCCAAATATCTGCAAGTATATAAAGTGTGATAAAGTATATAAAGTGTGATAAAGGCAATTTGTGTAAAAAAATATAAATCTCTTTCATTGAACGTTCATATTGTTTACATAAGACTGAAAACAAATTGTACTTGGACTTGTGTGCATTAGGCATGGTCTGGAAGTTCGAGTCGAACATCAGCTGTTTGCCCGCCACGCCCCAGAATGCACTGCACGTTTAGATTGCATTGTGATTGGCCAATGCTTGACCAATCACAGCACAATTGGTCACTGCTATCTCTGCCATATTGTTTACATCTGACCGCAAATGTCAGATTGCGGTGAGTGCTCGGTGGGTGCAGACAGGTTGGCAGGCGTTTTTTTATTTTTTATTTTGGCGAGTTGGTGTTGTTGCGACAATGCTGGGCACTGTGAAAAATGGAACTTTTTGAAAAAATTCATGTCCCTCAGGGCAGTACCCGAGTCCCCATACCCCTTTTATGAACAATGACTTTCCTTGCATATAAGCCTTCAAAATGGACACTTTTGAATTTACAAGTTACAGTCCCATAGACTTGCATTAAATCCAAAGTTTGCGGTCGAACACCCATTAAGTTCGAATGTTCCACCATGAACTGAACAGGGGGGTGTTTGGCCCATCACTACTAAAAATATTCACCTACCAATCTTGTCAAACTTACCTGAATTTTCTCATGATTATTACTTGATTATTACTTGGAATCTCCTCTGATTTCCTGCCATCACCCCCCATTGACTATTATATACTATACTAGCTCACGTGCATATTAACCACCTCCCGCCCGCCATATAGTCCAATGACAGGCGCAAGGTGGTTCTCTCGTTCTGGGAGGACGACATATGACCTCCTCCCAATCTCATCACGCATGCGCGGCTCAGGGAGTGCGCAGCGCGGCGACAGGGTGTTCAAATACTTCTGTTTCTCACTGTATGTACATTTTCTAATAGTTTTATGTATTTGTTCAAGCTGGTCCTGTTCACAGTGTTTTAAATCTGACCATCTTTTTTCGGACTTCTTCTTTGGATCTTTCAACTCCTTGCTTCTTTCTAAGGACTTCCAGAACTTTCTCCGAGATTATGTTTTTCCTGCTGTTGGGCCTCTCATAATTTTGGAGCTTGCCATCATAATCATGCTTCTCCAACAGGTATACATGATCCACCATTTCACTTCTGGACATTTCTGTCACTTTCGCCTTTCTTCCAGATGTCTCTCTGCCCGTTGCTTTGGGCTCCCCTACATTTTCTTCGTCCACCATTTTGTGCACATTTTGAGTCATCAGAGGCTAAGCAATGAGCGCACACTCACTGATTCTTCAAGCATTCAACACCTCGATCTTTCATGTGAGTGATTAGTGAAAATGAACAAAGATAAGTGACCTTTTACTTCTTGCATATTACACTATTTACTATGTTTTATGTTGACACACACGGTGCTGCTGCACAAAGCAGGCCTCACAAATTTTCATTTGAGATTGGCCCTGATTTATTCAAAATGCATATCACAGATGTTTTTAAAAAGTTTGGTGACATATTTGTATAACCATGTAACATAACTGAATGTTGTAGTTCTTTATCTGTAATCTGCTTCATGGCTGACCAGTTAATTTTTATCATACAGAAACCTGGACAGACAAATTCCCCTGCCATGATTTCCTTCCATGCTTCATTGACATGTACAGGCAGGTGCCTTGCCTTTAGAAGGTGAAGTCCAAGGAGTGTTCAGACGGCAACAAAAAGCATGAGGCCCTCCCCAAGCTAGCTGAACTGTGAAAGCGGTTTGCCCTAATCCTACGGTGCAGTATCGTCAGGGAGCGAGGAGCCAGACACACAAAGAGGTGCAATTAAAGGTAGGTTTATGAATATAAAAATAAGACAAGAGCCTATGCAAGTTCAACAGCAGAAATTGTAGCCAAAGCCGGGATCAAGAGCCAGGAAGAATGGTCGCCAGAGCCAGGATCAGGAGCCAGGAAGAATGGTCGCCAGAGCCGGGATCAGAGCCGGGAGCCAGGAAGAATGCCAGAGCCGGGATCAGGAGCCAGGAAGAATGGTCCCAGAGCCGGGATCAGGAGCCAGGAAGAATGGTCGCCAGAGCCGGGATCAGGAGCCAGGAAGAATGGTCGCCAGAGCCAGGGTCAGAAGCCAGGAGGAGTCTTCGCCAAAGCCGAGTCGGTATCCAGGAAAGCAATGAGTAGCTATACAGGAGCTTGCTGTTGTGCAACAGACAGGACACGAATGTAATGGACAGCCACAAACAGCAGACTTATATGTGATAAGCCGCCACCTCCTGGGGGAGGAGCCGCAGAGGGCTGAAAGCATAAAGGATCCCACAATGCTTTGCAGACACCTAAGATGGATGCCAGCACATGGAGCAGCACAAGGTCTGAGGAAGGTCTTGACAAGTATGTACAGAACAAAATAGCAAATTTAAGAACAAAATTAAGAGCTAAATAAAGTAAAGGCATCACAGAAATCTGGCACAGGATCTGATGTGTATGTTCCATAGCTGTGGTACTATGAAAGCCTTTGCTTTCTGACAGAGCAAGTAGAGCCAGAGCTTCGTTTTGTACTCTTGCAACACCATTGCCAGTTTCTGCAGAATCCCCATCATCTGACCTTGAGCTGGAAAACTCTCAGGACATTCCACCCTCTCAGGTAAATACAGTATTGATTTGTACTTTTGCCATTACTTCCTACTGAAAATTGTTTTCATAAACTTCATAGGAGTATTTTTGTAGTGTGTTATTCATTATATGGATTCATGTGAAGTATAACCAGGGGCGGACTGACCTGATGTGCAGTAGTGACCCATAATTCACCTTTTTCATAGTTTTTTGAGTTGAAGGATACAGGGGCCCCATGCCCCTATTGCCCGGGGGCCCCATGAGTTGTCAGCCCCTGAATTTCACAAGTTCAATATTGTTATGCTAGCTTTTCACAAAATATTGTTAGCTTTTTGATAAAGTCATAGGAACCTGACAATAATGAGGATGTCATTGTGTCCACTCCTGTTGTACCAAGACACAAGGCCAGAAAAAAGAGAAACCTAGAGGATGTCACATCTTCATTCTTAACTAAGGCAACTGCAGCTCTACAACGAAAGTCTGATGATTATGATCGGTTTGGTATTGTCACAGCCAACAAATTAAGGAAAAGAATGGATGAGTAATGCAAATTGGCTGAAAGTTTGCTTATAGAAGTCCTGCAAAGGGGGGTCAGTGGACAATTGTCTACCAGCACACATTTGTCCGAGACTGAAGTCTCGACACCAGCACCAATACCAACACTACAGCACTCGTACCACCATCATTCTCATCCCATGCCATCCCATCAGCAGACAAGTTAGCACTATCCTATATGTGAAAGGCACCATTCCGCCTGGTCACAGGAGTTTAATTACACTCAGCTGTCAACATTTTATTATTCATTGATGTTGCACTTTTTCACATACTAGTTTATAAATTGCACTTTTGTGTGGCACTTTTCCTGGTTTTACAAACCTTTTAAAGTTACGTTTCTTGGGTACCTCAAAAGGTTAAAAATAATAATAAAATAATAATGGGCGACCACACGATTTGTGAAATTTTATTTTAGGAATTGTCGTCATAACAAACCCATGTCATTGTGAAGTTTGTTCTATCCTTTCCGCTCATGCGCTGTCTTGTGCACTCAAATTCCTTCATAGGAACACCATACTATTCACATAATAGTCGTACAATGTGTTCTCTGACGAGAAAAATTTTCATGCTTGCTCCTACGTATGAACTGTCGTGATCGGCTCTTGAATGCTGTGTACTAAGGATCAGATTATCGTATGATCGCTTTGAAATCAGTATTTTTTGTCCGATTTTCTGATCATGTGTACCAGCCATTGGCATACAAAATTACCATGAAAGCAGCTTGACGAAGCTTAGAAGCAGGTCAAAAGGAAGTCATTTGGAGGACCACTTAAAAGCATTATACACCTTCCTACCTGCGCCTTGTGTTTTCACCTGTAGAAGATTGTATGTGTATTGATCTTGTAGTTTCATGGTATCATTTGTTGCCTTGTATGTACCACCTATAGTAGAGAAAATCTTTATATTCCTGTGTAAGCAGCTTATGTTTGTGTTCAAATATGAGTCATGCAGCAGAAACTACATATCCCACAATTACCTTAGTCCCTCAGTCTAATGTTCTGCAGGTAAAAGCCAAACAGTAATTAGATCTGATGCAGACACAAATAAGCAGATCCATTAACAGAGTCTTTCATAACTTTAGCACTCCCACATTTGAGATACAACACAGAGGAAATGCAAGTCATGCACTGGAGGCTGTATAACCAGGAACAAGAAGCTGCCTGTCCCTTTATCAGTGAGGGACAGACTAGGTCAATAAGTACATGGTCATGAGGGAATCAATCAGCCAAGAGCTAAGGTAAGGCATAACAAATGACGCAACAAATATAACCACACTAAAACAACAAAAACACTTCAAAGTGTACAATGCCTTTAAAGGATAAGTTTACCTTTGGGAACATGATACGTTCCACCCGTTTTTAGGGTAGAACATGTAACATGTTCCCATAGTTGCAGCCACGCCTGCCGCCCCCCTCCCCCTCTGACAGATAATACGAGGAGAAGGTTCCCCATACTATCTGTCAGATTTGAAAACAGTGCGGCTCCGCCCACACAGCTGCATTATTTATTCATGGACTTTCGTGAATGAATGAACTGTAAGTCCCAACAAGTCCTTTATCGACTGTGGGCTCAGTTTTCAATGAACTACCATGGCACTGTGGATCGCCATGGTAGTTCATTAAACCTTCCTGCTTGACCCTACATCCCTGTCAGGGCTCCGGGTATGACCAGAGGTGTGTGGACCGACACAGGGAAACACAGACTTCAGGTATAGCGTGTAAAACAATATAATTTATTAAGGACAACACTAACATAAACGCAGTGCAACAAACCAAACCCAAAGCTAACACAAATACGTACAACAAGGTGCAACAACCCCAAACCTTAACTGATAAATATATATGGAGCACAGTGTAGTCAGGCGGGCCGGGTCGGGTCGGTAGTTAACGGGCAGACAAGGTACAAGGAGTAGGCAGAAGATTGGTGAGGAGTAGCCGAGATCGGTGCAGGCAGATTTCAAGCAGAGTCAGGATCAAGCAGAGTCGGGATCAGGCAGGAAGCAGACAGGATGCAGGTACAGGGGCTCATGGGAACAATACACCAAGGCCCTGACTGCAGGCCTGGCCATTCCTTAAATACACCTCCTGCAATCAGCCTCAGGTGATGGCTTGATTGCAGGAGTAACCTTATGGCTGCTGAGAGCACCCGCTGGCCAGCCCTGGTACTGCAGCCCACAAGGCAGGTGAGTCCCACCACCATTGGCGAGTCCATTCCTGACAATCCCGTACGGCAAACAGATATTCTGACAGATCTGCAGGAGACCTGCATGGCATCAGCGATCTACTGATCACTGGTGCAATGCTTTCTAGGCTCCTTTGGTCAAAAATAATAAATGCACATTTTTTTACCTGCAAAAAATGTGCATTTTTTATTTTTGTCCAAAAGGTGAATTTATTCTTTAAAGCTGGATCTGCTGCAAATAGGTTAAACAACTCTTATGGCCCAAACAGAGTAATAGGATACACATGTGATCATGAGCAATGCTCAAGCTGGTTGTATCATTGAGAAATGTGGCTGTGTTTGGACACTCATCAAACATGATGAAATACATGCAGATATCAGGAGATAAAAGGATTGGTTTCCGTGTACTTCGTTCCCTTTATCCTTGGACTAAAAGAAATCTTTTGTTTGTCAAATGATTTCCTAATCACAACTGCTTCTAATTACATGGCAAGCTTGTAGTCAGAATAAAGACTGTGTTGTAATCACTTTGACTTGGTTGAAAAATTGTTATTGTCACTTTCATTAATGATATTGTAAATAAATGGTAAATCATATCAACTCATTAGCTCTTGAATCAATTGAGACAATTAAAGCCAAGAAAGTTGAAAAATGATGTGATTACATCAAATCTAACATTACATGCAAACACCAACAATGTCATAATTTTTTCTATTGTACACATACTGATGTTGCTCAATTCCTGGGTTGTGCTTTTTATTGTTTAATTCTAACTCAACATAGTGTGGCCAAAAAAAAAATAGTAGACGCAAGTTAACCATGCAAGGTTTTGCAGGGGAGCTTAGTAAAGGTTAAAACCAGGGCGGACTGACCATTTGGAAACTCGGGCACTGCCCGAGGGCCCGGGGTCAGTAGGGGGCCCCATGAGATGCCCCTGGTACCTTTTTCATAGGCTTTTTTTTTGAGGACACAGGGGCTCCATTATCCCCTGTTGCCCAGGGGCCCCATGAGTTCTCAGTCCGCCCCTGGTTAATACTAAATACTGTAGACACTGTCAGACATGTCTCTTATTTATCTCCTTCACAACAGTTATGTGACTTCTTTGGGAGGGCACCTGCCCAATCCTGCATGTTTAACACACTCAGAGGGGCTTTCCACTTCTTGGTATGTGGACAATCACATGCAGCTCTGCAACAAAATCGCTTAACATGATCACCACCTTCCTCCCCGATTATCACCCTTTAAAGCAGTGTTTCTCAACTCCAGTCCTCATGGACCCCCAACAGGTCATGTTTTCAGGATTTCCCTCAGATGAAACAGCTGTGGTAATTACTAAGGCAGTGAAACTGATCAAATCACCTGTGCAAAATAATGGAAATCCTGAAAACATGACCTGTTGGGGGTCCATGAGGACTGGAGTTGAGAAACACTGCTTTAAAGTGACCAACTCTTTGTAGTTATCCAATCTAGCGTTCAGTGCCTGCCTTGTGGGTCCATTGTCTGTTAATTACCAAATGTATGTTGTCAACCTTAGTTTACTCTGACTTTTGAAGCTTTGCTTCAATAGTCCAGCTTTCTGGCGCTTACTCAGCTACAATTCTCATCTGATCCTCTGGAGTAGTTGCCTTATTGTACGCACTTTGTTTTTGATCCTGGCCCACCCCTGACCAAGCCAATTTGTTGTCTGATTTAATTTTGACAGTGGCTTTGCCCAGCTGTACCCCTTTCATCTTGATTATATAATCTGGTCTCCATCTACCCAGGCATTATATCTTTCTCACTTAAACTGTAGGTGCCCCAAGAAGGACAGAGCAGTTGTAGGCAGTGTACCGGGGTGGGCTCCCCAGGATACAGTGAAGTCACGAACGAGGAAAGCAACCCCAACACCAGCTTTTGCCACAACAGAATTTTACTTAGATGTGGCAAATAAACACAACCACAAATGCTGGAAACATACAATAAATTTACATACACCCAGCCCAAAGGCTGAGACCCTTGTGCTGCACAGCACGGCGCCTCCTGATGGATGAAGATAGAAAGCGAAGTATTTATCTACTGGCGAGCACAACTAAGCTGCCACACCTTACCTGTTATTACCCTACAGATCAGGAATCAGTGTATGGGGTACGGTATGGGCTAGCCTGCGGTGCAGCACAACAGCTTACAATCTTACACAAATCTACAGTATTCCCCCTCCCATAACTGGTCCTGTAGCACGTGCCTGAGTATTCCTTCTGAGCAAAACGCCAGTCTGGCTTGAGTTTGTAGGATTTTATCAGCTCTCCAATGTGAAATGTCACTTTAAGTTGTGGAGTCCTTCCAATGATCAGTAACACTTGTGGCCTGACACAAACAGAGACCCTAACTAACTATAGGCCTGGACTCAGTCTCAAGGCGCCAACACTGAAATGAGGTGTGTGCACGATCTTACCGACCCGGGTCTGCTTTTCATCACGCTGGTGACTCTGAACAGAACAAATGTCTCTCCAACATGCATGCGGTCTCACCATATATGTTGCTTAGTTCCTCTGCTCTCATCAGCATTCCTGGCAGCAATCTCATCAGCATTCCTGGCAGCAATCTCATCAGCATTCCTGGCAGCAATCTCATCAGCTTCCTGGCAGCAATCTCATCAGCTTCACTTAGCTGCAGCTCTGGTTACGGAGGGATGCTCTCACACCTGGATGTCATCAAATTCTCAGCTCACATGGCCCCCCTCATTCACCATTCTCCAGAACATGGCTGCTCTCTCTTCTTCCTGTTCTCTCTCAACTCTGTGTGAAAACTCCACCTCTTCATGAAAATAGAAATATCTATGCAGTCTGAGGCTGTGTTAGAAAAACAGTGATATCTCGTGGCTAAACTGCAGAATGTCAGTCAAAACATTTAATTTACTCCACACAAGCAGTATTCAAACAATGAGAGCTGTTTTGCCTTCTCACACAGTTACAGTTACCCTGCATTGTGGCTAGCCTGAACTGAGTCCAGGTCCCCGTACCAGGAAGTTACATGCACATTGCAGTTAGATATTATTTGGGCACAGATGTTCACACAAAAAACAATTATTTTGTTTTTGGAAGACTAGAGGTCTAATCACTCCTATTTCAAAGTCTCCAAACCTTGGAGGAGGTATATTTCAGCAGCAATTCTGTAGGAACAATACTCTCTAGTCTCCTTCCACAGTCATGAAAAAACCTTACTTAGTTTTAACCAAGTAGTGTTGTCAACTGTTTACTGTTGCCTTACCTTAACTAATATATTGAAGATCCAAAACATGGATGGGGACATAACTGCTTGGCATAAAGAACTTTTTCTGCCATAGCTCATAGATTATGGGAGTGGGGCTTACCCAGCACTGCCCATATAGAGGAACGTGTGACACTACCCCTGCCTTTCCAAAATGCAATGGCTCACAGGTCAGGTGGCACTCTGCATAGCCTGTGATATGACAGCAAGTGGATGGTACTTAAATACTGTTTGCACTGTAAAGCAAACCTGTTGTATTCCCCAATATGTCCATTTTACCTAGACACTTAAGGCTGGTACAAGTAATAATTATAGCTCAATATATCAGTTTTCTGGTGACATTTGAGTATCAATGTTCGTTTATGATTTTTCTTACTCAGGCAAAAGTTACATGAAAAATGTAGCATTTTTCACAAATCTTATAGTTTTTACAGGGTTCCTGGCTCACACATGACTGTCAGGGACTGCAGGTCTCGCAGCGGCGCACAGGTCTGCACATACACAGATTGCCTAGGCACACTAATGTGCAGGCACTAGGATCTGGGCGTCGGCGTCGACAATTGCACCAATGACTGTGCAGGGTGCACTATTTAAACTGACCAGATGGTGACTAGGTTGCCGCAAGGTCTAGTTCCTGTACCCGTGTTCTGAAGTGTGTTCCTGTTGCCGATCCTGCTTGTCCTGATTTGTGTTGACCTTCTCCTGCTCTGACCCCCGGCTTGTCCCTGACTACTCTCCTGCCTGTTGTATATTACTATTGGACCTCCCATTGCTGAACCTTGGCTCGTGACCTGGCTGCTCTCTGTCTACTGTTTTGTACCTACCTGCCTCCACCGTTACCGACCTGGCTAGTCTGACTACGCTCATCCCTGACTGTCATCCATCCATCCCGCTCGGGACCTGGACTTGTCAGCCTCTTCACAGCAGGCTCACCCCCCCGGCACGTACCCTCGGTGGGACCCCTCTACCACAGTTGGGTGCACTCAGAGGTCGCGACCTGGTTTCAGTCTCGCATCAAGTCCATCCCCACCATCAGGGGCTCTGGTGAAAAGGCAGACTGGGACTTAAACTCCGCGTCCTGGGGAATCCCGTTCTGTGGATCACTAGAGATTCCGCCGGGCGGTGCCTGACAATGACAGTATTCTGGCTTGGTAATTGGCTGCTTAGGTACTGAGAACTGCATTGTGGGAAGGATGGGGTATTCTCATGTATGTTTTAATACCAATTTTGTGTATTTCTCTGGACTGCTGCAGAGTATCAAGATGATGTGTAGGAGAGTGGAAGTGAAAGGCATGTTATGTCACGGGCTAGCAGCGTATAGGGGAGCTTGTCCTTTTCATGCATAGCCATGAGGTAGGGAAGCACCTGTACTCTTTACCCATTCCTGCCTGGAGTAGGTTATCCCTTTTAAACTCCTGAAGTGCTATGGGAATGGGATCCTCCCCTGAGTGCCATTACAGAGGTACCCCTGAGAGGCCCCCTGCCTGGCCAGCACCATCATTAACCCATTAAATACCTTCCTAAGGTCCTAAGGTAATGGAGTCCAATACTGTAGTTGCCTCACTCAGCACCAGTTGTTTTCCAAAAGACATTCTTATTTGTGGTCAGGAGAGTCCACACAATGCAAGCCTTTTAACCACTTGACCTCCAGAGGATTTACCCCCCTTAATGACCACGCCTCTTTTTGCTACTCGGCGCTGCACTAATTCAACTGATAATTGCGCGGGTCATGCAATGCTGCACCCACACGAAATTTACGTCCTTTTTTTCACACAAATAGAGCTTTCTTTTGGTGGTATTTGATCACCTGTGCGCTTTTTATTTTTCACGCTATAAAAAAAAAAAGGCCAAAAATTTTGAAGAAAAACAATTTTTTTTTACTTTCAGCTATAAAAAATATATAGTAAACTCAAAGTTGGTTATAAATTTAGGCCAAAATGTATTCTGCTCCATGTTTTTGGTAAAAAAAATCCCAATAAGTGTATATTGATTGCTTTGTGTGAAAGTTATAGCGTCTACAAACTATGGTATAGATACTGCAACTTACGCCATTTTTCTGCTATACAGCGCTGCGCTAGTTTAACGGACAATTGCGCGGTCATGCAATACAGTACATAAATGAAATTTACATCCTTTTTTTTTCCCACAAATTGAGCTTTCTTTTTGTGGTATTTGATCGCCTGTGCGGTTTTTATTTTTTGCGCTATAAAAAAAAAAGGCTGACAATTTTGAGGAAAAAAAAACAATATTTTGGACTTTTTGCTATAAAACATGTCCAGTAAAAAAAAATTTAAAAATCAAATTTAGTCATAAATTTCTGCCAAAATGTATTCTGCGACATGTCTTTGCTAAAACAAAACCCAATACGTGTAAATTAATTGGTTTACGTGAGACTTATAGCGTTTACAAATGACAGGAAAGATACTGGGAATTTTAGGGTTTTTTTTTATACTAATATTGGCGGCGATCAGCGACTTATGGCGGCGATCAGTGACTTATGGCAGGACTGCAGTGGACATTCTGACATTGGGGGGTACTGACTTGGGGTCACTGACATCCCCAGTGACACCAATACAGTGATCAGTGCAAAAAAAAAAAAAACACTGACACTGTACTAATGGCACTGGGGAGGAAGGGGTTAAGTTTATTTTTCAGGGAAAGGGTTAACTGTGTGAGGGGAGTGTTTTACTAGGGG